CTATAACTAAGGATATAAAAAAGAAGCCACAATGAAACTGGTAGGAGGGGCAGAGATGTGAAATGGACTGATCCCAAACCCACAGGTAGATGTTGAGTAATGGGAGGTACATCTCAGTGGTGGAGGCCCCCATGAAGATGGAGCAGTCCCAGCCCCACTCTGTGCTCCCCAGCCCAGGGGTCCAGAGCTGGGAAGAAGTATTCAAAAATAGGCAGTGAAAATCAGTGAGGACTATATCTGCTCATCCTGGTGAGATGGAAGGCTGTAGGAAAACCAGATGCCCTCTTAAAGGACCCTTCAGCAGACTCACTTGCTTGAAAACACTCACCTGGGCTCTGGTGGAGAGGTGGTAACTCAAGAGGCACCAGAGACTTATGAGGGAAAACTGAGTTGTGTGGCTTGGGGCGAGGGCTAGAGGGACAGCTGCCATAGACCCTGTGTGGAGCCTGCCTCACATATAGCCTATAAGAGGGCACCATCTTTCCTGTGTTGAACCCTCTCCTAAAAGACCAAATCTGAGAACACATTGGTCTGGTAAAATCTGGGCATGTGCACCACCTTAGTGACATCCTGGGTCCTTGGCCCACTCAGCTAGTGCTGCATTGCCAGGGGCACTCTTAGCTCTTGGATGACTAGTCCTGCCCCACAAGCTGCTGAAACCTTTTATAGCAGCCAGTGGCCCATGGTGGCCTAGAAAACTTTCGGTGGCAGACAGTCATCCACAGCTGGCACAGCAGTCTCTCTTGGGAGGTTCTCCAGGATTTGCAGGCCTGAGGAGAGTGGTGGCTGGCCATAGCATTCTCCAGGAATTTTGCAGAATGATCACAAAATTAGCACTGACACAAGAATTAAATCTGTATTAACTTCGTAAAAACCATAGGCCATGCCCTGCCCAGCTAATGCTACATCGCCAGAAGCACTCTCAACACTAGGTCAACCAGCCCAGCCCATACACCTAAAGAGGTTTTTTCAGCGGCTGAGCCTTATAGGCAGCAGGCAGGTAGCAAGAGGCCTAGGAAGGCCCTGGGACTTTTGCTAAGCTGTCCCAGGCCCAATAGTAGTGGCAGCTGGTCTCAGTTCAAAGTGTGGCCACTGCCACACACCTCCAGGTACAGCACAGCAAGCAACCAACCACACACAGCTTTGTGGCTCCCACAAGGTAGCCCTGGGCCAGTCACAGGCAAGACTGAAATTGGCCTTGGAGCTCCTCCCAAGGGACACCAGAAACAACACACCCAGAGGCCAGCTTCAGACCACATGGGAGCACTACCTGATTAGCCCCACAAGTGGCACACTCAAACCCAAAGGGTGGTCTCAATGGGCACAAGAGCCTGCTGGGCGAATCCCCCTCTGAGGTTACAGCCTCCATACAGAAGCTCATAAACTGTAGGCATAGCCAGTCATCCTGAAAGTCAATCCCACCCACTGACATGCCAAAAGCCATCGAGGCTCAACTACGACAGGAGAACTTACACAACAAACACAAGGGACACTCCTGGAACACACGCACAGGTGATCTGGGAGACTTGACACTGGGCCACACAGGACACTTACTATATAAGGCCACCCAGCAAAGACTGAGAGATATAGAAGCAAACACAGAGAGGCAACCAGAATGAGGAAACGAAGAAATATGTCCCAAATAAAAGAATAGGAGAAAACTCCAGAAAAAGAACTAAATGAAATGGAGGCAACCGACCTACCAGATACAGAGTTTAAAACACTGATTATAAAAATGCTTAAGGAACTTAATGAGAATTTCAACAAAGAGTTAGTAAGTATAAAGAAAGACATAACAAAGAGCCAGTCAAAAATGAAGAATAAAATAACTGAGATGAAGAATACACTAGAAGGAATCAACAGCAGATTAGATGAAGCAGAGGGTTGAATCAGCGATTTAGAAGACAAACTAGCAGAAAACACTGATTGAAACAACAAAAAGAAAAAAGAATTAAAAAAATGATAATTTAACTACCCTAGCGGTAATCCCGAGTGTGGCTCAGGGTTAATTTCCACTGATGCAGAATCTTTGAAGATATGCTGATCATTCTCAGTAGTGAAGGCTGACTTTGCAGGTTCAGGGACAGAAGTAACTATTCCAACTCTGTAATGGACAAATCTTAAAGCCACATGGAAAGAGAATTTAGAAAAGGGAAGCTTAATTTTCTGAGATCCAGGAATTCTACATGATTTCTTGAGTAACAGAACCATTGTAGCTCTATTGTAATATTTTTGGAAAAAGAATTTAAAAACAGCATCTTTCCCAGATGGCTTAAATTTGAATTCTGGTGAAAGAAATTTCATAAAAATCAATTAAATTAAGTCAGGATTTTTTAGTGCTATATTGGAAGTCCTCATCAGTATGATAAAGCAAAAGAAAGAGAGATAGATGAGAGAGAGAGAGAGAGAGAGAGAGAGAGAGAGAGAGAGAGAGAAAGAAAGAAAGGAAGATTAGAATTCAGGTGGTATGATTTTATACTAATCTATTACTAAATTAGTAAAATCGATATGTGAGTTTTACAAGGTTGGTGGACACAAAGTCAGTATCAGCAAAAAATTAATTATATTTCTAATATTGGCAGCAAACACCTAAATTTGAAGAAACAGTACTTTCATAAGAGCATGAAAACATGAATACCTAGGAATAAATCTCACAAATTATGTTGAAGACCTCTACCCATAAAACTATAATCATCACTGAAATAAATTAACAAAGGTCAAAATCAATGAGGGAATATAAATCTGAAGGAAATGAAATCACTCCCATGTTCATTGCAGCATTGTTTACAATAACCAAGACATTGAAACAACCTAAGAGTTTGTCGATAGATAAATGAATACAGAAGAAGCTGTGAGATACATACATATATATATATATATATATATATATATATATATATATATAATGGAATATTATTCAGCCATAAAATGAACATCTTTCCATTTGTGATAACATGGATGAAATGAAATTTAAGGGCATTATGCTAAGTGAAACAAGTAAGACAGAGAAAGACAAAAACTGCACGATCTTTCTTATACGTGGAATCTAAAGAAACTGAACTCATAGAAACAGAAAGTACATTGGTAGTTGCCAGTTCAGGAATGGGGGGTGGGAGGAGGAATGGGTGAAGGTGATTAAAGAGCACACATTTCCAGTTATAAGATGAATCAGTTCTGAGAATCTAACGTGCAGTATGATGACTACAGTTGACGACACTGTATTGTATACTTGGAAGTTGCTAAGAGAGTAGATCTTAAAAGTTGTCACACCACAAACACACACACACACACACACACACACACAACTCACAAAGGTGACTGTGAGGTGATGGATGTGTTAACTAACATTATTCTGGTAATCATTTTCAATATATATGCACAATAGATCAAAACATCATGCTGTACACCTTAAACTTAAACAATGTTATATGTTAATTATATCTCAATAAACTTGGAAAAACTAGATTTGTCCCCTAAAGATTTGAAATAGTTACTTCTGTCCCTGACCTGCAAAGTCAGCCTTCACTATAGGGAATGATTAGATTCAGAGGGTTTCAAAGAATCTGTATCAATAGCTGCTGCGGCGTTGCTTACTAGAAGATGTCCTTACCCACAGTGTTTGTGATAAGTGTGCCCAATTGAAAGGAAAAGTCTGAGAAGCAGCAAAAGGCCCTTTGTAGAGTGTGTCAAGGACTTTGGAGGATTTGTGGCTGCATCATTAGTTGCTAGACATGTTTGAATGCCCGTCTATCACACTCTCAGCTAGCTGCAAGCATTTCCTTCAGAAAGTTCTTCCCCATTGCTGACTGACTCCAAGTACACTTGGCTGTCTGTGTAATGCTATCGCGTCTAATTTTTCTTTCTGCTTATTTGTCAAGCTGCTTCGAAGTTTCTGTAAAATGTTTTCTGACTCTCCATCCGTACTTTTGGTACATGATACTCAGAGCGTGCAGTGAAATGTAAAAATGTTTGGTATCTGTAAGTCTTGAGGAAGCTAATGGGGGGGATTAACTGACAATTCCAAATGTAAATTTTGAGCCCAATTCTAAGTGGGACATTTTGCTTTTTGGAAATTTCTGGGTTTTCTTCATTATTGTATTTTCATTTTATTTAATGTTTGTCTTTTACTCTAAGCAAATTAATAATGTGGTGGGATCCTCCCAGGAAGAAGACTCCACACAGAAAACACAGGGTCCTCCCAGGAAGAAAGGACTCCGCACAGAAAACACACTCGTACATACTCCACCAACATCAAACATGGCATGTGAAACCACACCCACCAGGGATACTGTTAACCATCTCGGTGGGAGGTCTGGCTCTAAAAAGCCAACTGTCTTCTGCTCTCACTGACTGTTTCATATATCAGCATAAGCCAAGATAATTTGGGTTTCTATTTTCAGTGTATAATTTGGTTCCTTGAGATGATGTTGAACTGTTTATATAACAAACCTCTAGACATTAAATCAATACAAACTTTCAGTGGTTGTTGTTGCTATTATTAATGCTGAAAAAACACATTGTACACTGAATTTTGAAAACTATCATTCTATGCCAACAATCAAGTAACAACATCAAACAATATTCCCTGACCTCATATTTTTATCATGGTGTTATCTCAGGATATAGCATGAAATGTGCACAAAATGCTTTCCCTCTGGGGTTTACACCTGATGGAGGTTTCCAGGGAACCCGTTAGGATGGTATTCCATTGGCCAACGTGCAGGACATACCAGAAGACATTTGCAGGAAGCACACTTGAAGTACACAAGCTAATTCGTAGATCAGAGATATATGAAGTGTGGCAACTCTGAATACAGTGGAGTATCTATTTGTCTTTACTTTTCCTAGGGAAGGTGGGAGGGGTATGTGAAAGAGGGTGGTTACTGAAAGGACTGCCAACCATATAATAAAAAGTAACTTTTAAGAAGTTTACCTTCTTTTCCCCACTAAAATCAATCACCTGGGTATTTATTCAGGAGATACAAAGGAAGATCTTTTACCACCTTGTGGTCCCTGAGAAGTGCTGACAGCATGGAACAAAGCAGAACGTGGATCAGCCTTAGGGATCCGAGCAGAACACAAGGCCAGCTGCCTCCTGAGCACAGCATTGCAGTTCCCAGGTGTCACTCACCTCAGCAGCTAGGGCAGAAAAAACGAGATTTGCTCCCACGCACATGTGCATAATAAAGAAAGTCAACTCAGAAAATTACTGTTTGTTTTTGCTCTTCTGTTTCCATTCTTACTCCCAGGCCAATATGACCTGGGAATTGCAGATTGCATAAAAATTGAAATAGTCTTGAGAAAAAAACAAACACGCTCCTCAACTTTCCCTGGGCCCATGTTCTTTCATAATCTTCTTAGATAACGCTCCTTATACCTGAAACATCTCTCTGCTTCTCTGCCCCTCAACCTTGTTTATTCACATCAGTCAAGGCATATAGTAGACACGTAAAACTTAATTCTAAGTCATGTTCTTTATCACTTTTTGCATCCTACACATGACACATTTCCTCTGCTCTCTCACCAGGAGGTACTCCACTCTCATGCCCGTTAGACACCCAGATGCAGTTCTGCCCTAAACTGCTAAAGCAGCTTCATATCTGTAGCCACCATTCCCTTCGGTCTGTCCTCTGGAAACTACCAGACTTATGTTTGCAGAATGCAAAGCAGATTATGTTGTTTCTTTAACTGAACATTGTATCTGGTTCTACAAAGAATACACTAGCGTTAGCAAACCTGGAGTAGGGGGATAAAGAGATGCATGGACGGCCTTCACAGAGGTCTATGCACCCTCTGGTACTGTACTCAATGAGTTGCTTTATGAGCATTGAGTGTCTTTTTTCAGAAGATCGTCAAGAGATTTCAACAGATTCTCAAAAGAGTTTGTGCTGTGATGTGGCCTACTCCCGCCCCCTAAAATATAAAAACTCTGAAACTTATCAGGGTGTCAGTTAAGGCCCTTGGCAGTCCAGTCAACGATAGCAGTGTAGAGCATGAGAAGTGGAATAATAGGATACTGAGGATATTGTTCCATTTTAGTCAGGCAGTCCTGGGTTTTAATTCTGGTTTGATTATCTGGCTGGCTGGTCTTGGAAATGCAGTCTTTCTAAGCTTTATTTGGCCTGTCTGGTAAATGGGATAATATTTCTCTTCTCACAGCACTGTTTTAGATATTAAATTTAATAATAAGAAACAGTAACTGGGATATAATAGACACTCAGTAGATTGTAGCTTCCTGGCTATAATTAAGTCTTTGGACATCCAAAGAATATTTGTAAAAACACTACCCTAAACCTACTTAGTAATAAATCCCTCATTTATCAGTTAGAGTTATTTATTTATTTATTTATCTTAAAAAGATTTTTATTAAAATATAGCTAACATACAACATTATATTAGTTTCAGGTGTATACCATAGTCATTAAACATTTATATACTTAATGGAGCAGTCACCATGATAAGTCCAGCAACCATTTGACACTGTACTAAATGCTATCACGATATTATTGACTATATTCCTTATGCTGTACATTACACTCCTATGACTATTTTGTAACTACCAATTTGTATTTCTTAATCCCTTCACCTTTTTCACCTGCCCCCAAATCCCTCTTCCATCTATAACTCTAGTACCCATCTTATACTATGCACAGTTATTACATCAGATGGAGTTATTTTTGTTTCAAGTTATAAAAAGTCCACATCAAATTGGCTACATTATGTAAGAGCATATATTAGCTCCTGTAGTTCAGAGGTACAGTACGCTTCAGGCACAATTTGTTCAGAACTCTACCTATTGTATAATTTTTTATTATGCTCTCAGCTCTGTCCTTCTCGGCTTCTTCTTCAAGCTGGTTTTCCTCATGGTGACAAAGTGACTGCAGCAAGTCCAGCCCCCACAACTGCAGGTCACACCATCAAGAACAAGGAGAGCATGTGTCTCCTGGAATTCGCAGCCAAAGTCTGAGATTCCCTCTGCCTTGACTGAGATTTCCCTCACATATCCACACCTGGAGCCAACCTCCACAGCTGAGGTTACATCTTTAGTCGTAAGCACCTCTTGAGTCACTTGCATCCCTAAACGGAATCAGGGCCACAATGAAGGGCAATATTTAAAATATTCATCAATCAAGATGACACAGGCAACAACTAATCTGAACACATACCAACCTAGTCAGAACAGACGCTGGATGGAAACAGCCAGTATTCCTCAGCTGTTGCTGGAAACCGAGTCTCAGCTCACCTATGGGAATGGTGAAGGTGAGAACCGTTTGCTGTGGTGGAAATTCTCTGGGATTTGCTGGGCCTACCTGCTCAAGAATGAGCTAATTTTTTGTTCTTCAGATCAACCTTTGTAGTTAGAAAATCAGGATTCGACTCGGGCTACCTCCTTTATTTGAGCTTCACCTTGAAAACCTCCATCGAGCTGAAAAAAATCATTGGGGAGAAAAAATAACACTGATTCTGATTTTAAAAATGTTTATTAAAAAACCTATTTCAAAAACATTGGCTTAGTAATTTACACCAGTCACACACAGAAACACTTAGAAATGCATTACTTGATCCGAAATCATTTTCAAGCCATTTCCAAAAGTTTAACAATCCTGAATTAATTTTTATTCTACAGTGGGAAGACCTATTAACAAACAGTTTGCTATTCTCTAGTTTTGTTTCGTATTAAATTATTTATAAATCACTTCTCAAACCCAACCCAAGAATCCAAGCTGTATCACAAGACAAAGCCTTACATTATGAAGAAACATAACTGGGCGACTTTGTTTCTCCTTTGCCTCCCAGTTCTGCTTTCCTCAGCGGTGGGTCTGGGAGCTCTCCAGATGCCAACGGGGTGGGGGAGTGGTAACACGGCCTTGGCGTGTGAACCTCAGCACAGATTCTTCAAGGGGACGTCAAAGTAATAATGTGAGTAGGCTGGAATGTGGGGAGACTGGCTGCTGCTCTTTAATTGCATGTAGTATTTTCTTTTGAAAAATCAAATTAAAAAGAGAACAAACTGATGGTTGCCAGAAGGGAGGGGTTTGGGGAGCTGGGTGAAAAGGTGAAACGATTTAGAAATACAAATTGGTCGTTACAAAATAGTCACGAGGATGTGAAGTACAGGCTAAGAATATAGTCAATAATGTTGCAACAACTGTGTATAGTGCCAGGTGGGTAGAAGAGTAATCAGGGGAATCAGTGCATAAATTACATAAATGCCTAACCGCCATGCTGTACCCCTGAAATTAATGTAAAATAATATTGAATGTCAACTGTAACTGAAAAAACGCAATAAATAATTTTAAAAAGAGAGAATTTGTGTCCAGATTAGCTGCTTTGGAAACCCTTGGTTCATTTGAAAACATGAAAGTGTGTTAACTTCTCCTCGAGGTGAGCGTGAATCTGTTACTGTTGTGCTTTGGGCCAAAGGATGCAGTTACCCTGGAGGAGCTCCAGGAGAAGAATGACTTATTTTAGAATTTCACATTAAATACAGTAGGGGTACATGGCATCGTCTCATTTCACCCATTCATTCATTCACTTACTCATTTCATTCAGCAAATGTCCTTGAGCACCTCCTGAGGGTACAGAATACAGCCAAATAGACTAAGTCCTTGCTCTCTGTATCCCAGTGCAAGGTAGATACAAAAAATAAAATTAAAAATCTCAAACAAAGAAACACAAAATACATCAGGTGGTGGCAAGGGGGATGAAAAAAACATCAACAGAGTTCATGAAGAGAGGGAGTGATGGGGTGGTTAGGTTAGGTGCTATGTGTAGGGGGTCAGGGAAGGCCTCAAATTTGAGTAAAATCCTGAATGAAACTTGAGAACAAGCCCTGGGATACTGGGGCTAGAGCTTTCCAGGCCACAAGAACAGATGGCATGACCAACTTTCACAGACCAGCCTGCCAGCAACCCTGCGATGGGGGATAGGACGGGAAATTTACCCTCCAATTGAGTCATGAGGAAACTGGGACTCAGAGAGCTGTGTGGCAGACCCAGGAACAAAGCCCATCCCTTCAAATTCCTAGTCCTTTATTCTAGAAAGAACAAGTGGAAGGCAAGTGCCCTGTGCACCTTCTGAGCTTTTCAGACTTGCTTGTTGATTGAGACACTTTCTTCAAATGAAATTTGGTGTGGAATCTCAATCTGTGAAATTGATTAAAATGGAACTTCTCTGTAAAAAGCGGGCAAGGGGACTTCCCATGCCTCACCTCCAGAGCTTGCCGGGCCCCAGAGGCCTTTCCCCCAGGAACCTCTGCAGCTCTCATGAGTTCCTTGCTCTTCATGCTCTGTTCCATATATACCCACCAAGCCTTGGTGAGGGAAGGAGTGGGGAAAGCAGGTACTGAAGTGTGCAGAAGGGAACACAAAGAAACAAGGAAGGTTATGACAAGTCAGTCATCTCCCCCTGGTTATAGACCTGCAAAACCAGCCTTTGACTTCTTTCAAGAGCCAATTCAAAATTTTTTTTCATTTATGAGGGGAGGACACACTGGATATCTATTGCTCCACAACAAATTATTCCCCAAATTTAGTGGTTTAAAAGAACAAATATTTATTATCCCTCAGTTTCTGTGAGTCAGGAATCAGAGTGCAGCCTAGCTGGATCCTCTGGCTTGTGGCCACCAGGAGGCTATAATCAAGATGTTGTCACATCATTTGGGCTGCAGTCATCTCGGGGCTCAGCTGGAGGGGTGCACGCTTCCAAGCTCACTCATGTGGTTGTGCTAAGATTACACTTTTTATGGGTTGTTGAACTGAAAGCCTCAGTTTTTCTTGCTAGTTATTGGCTGGGGACCTTCAATATCTTGTCACCTGGGTCACTTCCTATGGCGGCTCACTCCACAGGACAGCTGGTTGCATTCAGTAATGAAGGCTGGCTTTGCAGTGCAGGGACAAAGGTAATTATTTCAAAGTAAAGGCCCACATTTTCTGCCAAGAGCCTCCTTGGGCAGCAAACAGGAAGTAAGGGTTGACTGACCAGAGTAAGCTTTTATAAATCACAAAAACACTCAAGTTCAAACCTTCCTTTCACATATGAATATGCTTTGCCTGCATCTAATATTTCAAGACATTGGTGGAGAACAAGTTCTGAGTAAACACACCAAGTGGATTCTTATCTCTGGGGTCATTAATGAGTTTTAGCTTCCCAGCACCTCTTAAGATCTTATGACAATTGAAATCTCTTGAGTAGAGAGGAATGATTTTAAACAAATAATCCAAGATTACTGCCAACATTCCATAAAAGACATCACAGATTTCTACATCGGTAGATGTGCTTGCTTCAGTATTCTATATGCTAATCTTCCACAGCAAAACTTCACAGCTCAGCATAGACACAGTCTACCGAACCTTATATATATCCTCTCTTGCTGGGGGCACATTCCAAAGGGCCAGGCATCTGCGGGAAAGGAACCAGAAACTCTGCACTCTTTCTTAGGTCTTTTTTTCTAATGTCTTACCATACACTGACTGCAAGCAGCTTCCCTGCAACGGAAAATCAGGGGTTGAGTATCCAGGAGGAGAAAACCTTGTAATTCAAGGGGGGTGGTTTAAGCTGTGAGTAGCGTACCATAAGCATTTTTAGGCAATTTCACATCACCTTCCTTTGATTTCTCCTCTCTGAAATAGGATAAATAATAAGAAATGGCTTCTACTCATGAACACTCCACTGTTAAAATAAAAGCTTAGGGCTATAGGGGATGTTTGTCCAACCCCCTTCAAAGGTGAAGGAGGACAAAAGGTACAAACTTCCAGTTATAAAATAAATAAGTCCTGTAGATGGGATGTACAACATGGTGATTATAGCTAATAATGCTGTCTTACATATTTGAAAGTTGCTAAGGCATTAGATCTTAAAAGTTCTCATTCTAAGATTATATTTTACAGCTACATATGGTGATGGATGTTAACTAGACTTATTGTGGTGATAATTTTGCAACATATGCAAATATTGAATCATTATGTTGTACACCTGAAACCAAATTAATGTAATATGTCAATTATACTTCAATAAAAAAAGAACTTAATTAGCTCCAACTTATATGTTTATATGTATTCCATTTTTGTAGTAACTCCAGAAATTAAAGTAGAAAGCAAAATCAATATGGAGGGTTGTGGTGGAGGTTCACTCTGGGGCATTTGATATTTGGCCTCAATTACTTCTTAGATTCATACAACATGAAATGGCTGCTAAACACTGTAGATGTTAAGTACTGTTGACTAGAGATAGTATTTCAAAGCACTCATACATGTTTGTTAAATTTTCTCTTACAGCTAAATAAACCATTTGGTTTTTTGGAGGGGGGATGAAAGCAAGTAGAATATGTTTGTAATATCTATACATGATATCCCAAGGATCTAGTACTACAAATGTATGAAAACTTTTAAGATCTACAATCTTAGTAACTTTTAAATGTACAAAACAGTGTTGTTAACTATAGTTGAAGCATTAAAGTTATAGCAGCACATGGTTCAGATTGGCCTGACCCCAAACAAGCTTTGATAACTTCCCTACAAAGAACTTTTTAGGATAACAACAGAAAAGACCCTATTTATTATCATCAAATTAAAAATTATGAGGTGATATTTTAAAAAATACCCTTAGTTATAGCATTTTCTTGAAGAGAAATAGCTCTCAGATGTGAAGGCTGAGAGAAAATAAGTCAGCATACTAAGACCATATGATTTCACTGATATGTGGGATATAAAACTGAAAATAACAAAAGAACAAGACACACAGATGAAGAAACAAAATCTCATAGACATAGACAATAGCTTAGTGGTTACCAGAAGGTAAAAGGGTAAGGGGGGTGGTAGATGAGGGTAAAGGGAATCAAATATATGGTGATGGAAAGAGAACTGACTCTGGGTGGTGAACACACAATGTGATATATAGATGAGGTATTACAGAATTCTACACCTGAAACCTATGTAACTTTGCTAACAATTGTCACCCCAATAAACTTCCATTAAAAAAAAAAGTTAGCCCTCAAATAACTCACCAAAGGATTATACTACTTTTAAAGGTTTCCCTGAAAGTATCTGCTTTCCATTATACCATTCCTGTGAGCAGGGAGTGATTGCATAAGTACCATCATGCTACAGGGGAGGAAAGCAGCAGGCATTTGGGAAATCTGGCTTTCTTGTGCGTAACGTTAGGGGCTAGAAGCACTTTGAAGTTAGTTCTTTTTCTACCTCCTTGACGATCCTTAAATTTTTTAAAAGAGACAAAGTTTATTTACTCAATAATTGAAATGAAGGCTTAAAATGCAAATACACTTACTGACTTCCAGTTAAAATAAAGTGTCGATGACTGATGTGGACATTTTCTGAATAGATTTTGATAGGAGACAGAAGAATGGGGAAGCATGTTGGTGCCATAAAATAGGTTCAATATTAGAAAAGGGAGGTTGGGCCGGCCGAGTGGCTCAGTTGGTTAAGAGCTCGCTCAAGAGTTTGAGCTCTGTGCAACAGCGATTCGAGTCCAGCCCGAGCTGAGCAGCTGCTGAGCTGCCAACAGGTAGCAGGATGGCTCAGAAAAAAAAAAAAAAAAAAAAAAAAAAAAAGAAAAGGGAGGTTGTTGACCTCAAAAACAAATGTCAGCAAAATAATTGTGGCCAGCACAACCCCTGATTAAATCTGAAGATAAAGCCATAAATGTTCCCTTAAAATTAAACTCTTTGTTGGAAAATAAATTTTTTTCTTTGGATTTTCTTAGGGTTTCCTTCCACTCTATTATTTTAAATCTACGTTATGGGGAATAAAAAAATATTGTTATGACTCATCAAAGAAAGTTCATCTCTTTTACTTCTGTTTTTGGCAGAGATGAGAGAACTTTAATAACACAAATATTTTCATTGCATTACTGAAAGCAACAGGCAGAAATGACAAGTCATAAATGTTTGTTTACTCAATTAGTGAATAAATGAATGGATGGATGAATAAAAGAAAGAGGAA